GTCGTCTCATGTCAAGGCAGCACTACATCATGTCCTACTTGGGCTTGGACCCGAACGCGGTCCACTACCCGTTCGTGCAGTCCCCAGGGTTTGAAGATGAGTACCCTCCACCCACCGGCGATGGTGGTGATGCCTTCTAGAGCAGGTTTTGTGCTTTATTTGTTTTCCAGACTGAGACTCCGTGTTTTGTGGTTTCGTTTTGTTTTTTTTTTATCTTGGATTGTAGACTTGGTACTCTGATTTCTATCACCCAGTGTGTGTGTTTTTGTTGTCTCTAGCTCTGTGCCTCCTTCTTTTGACTGGTCCGCCATCCAGTCAACGTTCCTGACCACTGTTTCACGGTAACATCGTTCCCCTTCCCTCTGCTCCATTGAGGACATTGTCGTGTTTAAGTGTGGGGGGGGGGGGGGTTCTTTGTATGAATTGGAACGTATATATGTGTGCTTGGAGCCTAGTCCACTGTCCAAATCTTGAGATTTGAGGGCTCCAAGCGCGGCTGTTTGCTTGATGATTGATCGTATTGGCACTGTGGATGTGATTAGTGAATTGAATGACTTTTGACTTGATACATGACAACTTGAGTGTGACTTAGACAACTTATTGTGATGACTGAGATGTGCAGTAGAATTGTGTAGGGGTTCAGTTTTTCAACTGTCTGCTCACCAAATGTGACTTAGTTCGATCACTTGCTTTTGACAGTCATTTATGCATCTAGTTTAGGGAATCAAAACGAGAGATAGAGCATATAGGTAGCCATGTGAGATTTGAGCATGCTCGTTTCTTTCTTGTGCGATAGTTCCCTCTTCCATGATGTGCAGCATTCACGTTGTCATTAGCTAAGATGATGGAGGCATAGGATTAGCCCACGACCAAATTGACTGTCCTGGTGTGTCATACCCCTAGTCAGCCCCTTTGAGCCGTGTGTTTTCTTTCTTTCGGTCTTCAATGAAAAGTCACCCTTTTGCATCTTTTAGAAGGTTCCACAGAGTGATTTTTACATGTTCTCTGCTGTTTCTGCTAAATGTAATGTGAGGGTTGGAGGTAGTGCTTAAAAGTTGGGCAGGTGTTTGAAAATGTGCAGAGGCGGTGGTTCTCTTACGAAATGAAAAATAATGAAAGAAAAACAAAGAAAAAAAATGAAAGCAAAAGAGAGCCATCACAAAAAATCTGAATAATGCCCATGTAGTAGTGTTTCTTAGCAGTCTGGCTTAGAAATACTAGCATTTATGTAACCTCCTTCGCTCTTGTGCTCTGAACTTGAGTAATGCAGAATAGCAGAAAGAAAGTTATTGGTTTGATTGATTGTGAGTCTGTTGGGTTTGGAAATGTGGAACCTTGTGCTGTATGAATACTTCCACCACCTAAAAGGCCTTTTCCCCATGTCCAAGACCCTAGCCAGTCATCTGAACCTGTGTCTAAGACCTCCGGATTTGTTAGTGATAACACCCCATATGTGAACTCTAGCACTTAGAGGCTGCATTCATGATGAAGAGATGTTAGGGATTGAGAGATTAAGCATGCGCATTTTTCGCATCATATTGTCCTGACCCCACTGGTCGAGAGTGAGCGATTCATTTTCTCTTATTCTCTATACTCTTTATCCCGGTGAGGACCTAGATTGCTCGGTCTTAATTCTGATATCTTGAACTTTGTGCATGACGTGACTGTTTTGAACAAGTGGTTGAGTCAAGTCTATGTTGGTTGGTGAACAGAAGGGAGACTCTTCCTTTGTTCGATTTTACTGCATTCGAATGTCATCTGTGGTGGTTGTCTAGGTTGTCATTGAGGTTGTCCATGTGTTACTGATCGAAAGCCAGTATGATCCACGTGTTTTGTGCCGATATGACATGCCCTGTTTTGAGCTTACCTTGTGTCTGACTTGGTTTGCTTGGGGACAAGCAATCGGTTAAGTGTGGGGGAATTTGATAACGATGTAATTGCACATATTTGCGCCCCTAGTTCTTATCCATTTGAGGGGCATAGTCGTGTATTTTTTGCCTATTTTATGCCGAGTTGTGCTATTTTGTCATATTTCAGGTCCCAGGCATCAAAGGAAAGGCTAAGCACGAGTTTCGGGGCATTCGGAAGTCATTTCGTCGAGCTGGAGCCAAAACACGGGCACACCTAAAACAGAACACGGCCGTGTTCTGTGGCCGTGCTTTTACTGCCGAGAGCTAATTGAGTTTGGAAAATTCAAGCTGCAAACACGGGCTGAAAGCACGGCCGTGTTTGCACCAACAGGTGGCCGTGTAATTAACCCTAGCCAAAGCACGGGCGGGCTGAAGCAAAGCACGACCGTGCCCTCGACCGTGCTTTGGCCACTGATGCCCTTTTAAGCAGATTTAAGCCAAAACAGAAGGGGATTCGAGTTTTAGAGAGAGATAGATCAATTCCTAGAGAGAGAAAGCGACGAACAAGAGTCTCCAAGTGCCCTAGCTTGATCTTCATCACCATTGGAGGTCAGTTTGAGCTTGGAGAAGTGGCGATCAACGTCCAGGAGCAGGAATCCATCCTTCACAGTATGAATTCCGCGTCTGATTCTGCTTTTGCTTCTTTCTCCATGGAGTAGTTCTCCCATTCATCTGGGTATGGAGAACCCTAGATTTGTATGTTAGGTTTGATTGTATTAACCCAAGTACTGATTCTATGATTTGATTATATTCGATTGAGGTTTGAATGATTGAATGACTTGAATCCTGATCAAATTCCTGTTGTTTCTGCTTTAACCTAGAATGAGAATATCTGCCTAGGTTGATAGAGCATCCTTGATTGAAGGTAGGGAGTTGGTGACTTTAGTTGAGGAGCCAACTCACTATTCTGTACCGAATTCACTCCGGTAGTGGAGGTTTTGTTTGTTAAGGCCTCAATCTGTTTACTCCGGTGGAGGTTAGTCGCCCGCTAGATACTCAAATTGAGAGGGTCTGAAGACCTTTAGTCGAGACTTCAGGCTGTTTAAGAACCTTCCGCAGTATAACTATCATAGAAACTGAACTTGGTAATTACAATCCGGCTTAACTGCAGTCTAGGGGGAACCATATCCGGGTGACCTCTCTTAACCTGAAAACAACAGTTTACTTGCTTTGTTAGTTTGTTAGTTTAGACTTGCATTAAAGTTTCATTGCTAGATAACAAGAATTCACTGAGTAGTCATCAAATCTAGGACCCGGGTTGACATTTAAACCCAAACCCGCTATACTACACTTTAGGAAGTGGTTTCACTTGGCCAATTCCTGGAGTGACAGTAGAAGTGAATCAGGGTCACAATTATTTTAACTCGCTAGTAAGCGGGTGGGTCAATTTGAAACCAAAACCCACCCAGCCCGCCCATTGCCCACCCATAATAGATACCATTGATATGGTATAATAAACAAAAACATCTTTCATAACTGTTTATTCGATTATTGATTAATCATTAACCAATTTTGATTATTGTTAACCAATTTTTGGTTACTGTTAACTACATTATTTACATTAGTGAGTTAACCATAACCGGATAGTTAGTTATTGGTTATTCTGGTGTTAAGCGACAAGCCATTTATTATGTGATTCGATAAGATTAAAGCAAGAAATCGATCGGTACTCGAACCAACAGAAAACCTCCATTTTTTTCTTCATTTGTGCACTTTTTGTTAGGGCTGGCTATTTGGCCCGGACTGTTTGGTTTTACCCGAAACCGGACCGTATAACCTGGACCGGGACCGGACTGGGACCAGATAACAAACAATCCAATCTCATATTTGGGCTTAGATTTGAGGTAAAAACCCGAATAAAAACCGGATAAGAGACCCCCAACACCTAAAATCAAAATCAAATTAGGACCGGACCGGGTTAAGACCGGACCGGATCAAGACCGGATTGTATCCAATCCAATCTTTGATCCTTATATTCCCGAAAAGACTGGACTGAGACCGAATCAATTTGGTCCAATTTAACCGGACCGGACCGTATAGCCACCCCTACTTTTTGTGATTACATATGTGTATTCTTTTTTATATTTCTATCATTGATTTTGGTTTGACTTGTTGCTATGGGACCGAAAGATGAAAGTGAAGAGAGGATGGAAAAACGTGATGAGTGTATAAGTCATTTGAACTTCCCAATCCAAGCTAGATGCCTCTATTTCAATTGTAAAATCGACAGTGCTCTTTGCCTTTTTCAATTTTAGGCTTCACAGTTTACAATAGGAGGAAATTAGGAAAAAAAAGAAGAGGGCAGGGGTAGAGGAGATTGTTTATTCGAAGTTCGAGAGTTTTTATGAGAGGGACATGACTATTTTGGAGAGAGAAATATATATTTATATTCGGTTAACCGACTATTTGGTTATCGGTTACACCGAAAACCATATATGTTTATCGATAACCGGACCGCTAACTTATAATTGGTTAACAATACACCGTCAGTTATCGGTTATCGATATAACAATTAAACATTGGTTGTCGATTAGTTTATTGGCGTAACATCTTACGGGATAACCAAATATCACCCCTACTTAAAATATGACTTAATTGGCATCATTACACTCGCCATCTTTGATTCATAATCCCTTAATTTCAACCCAATGTGAGATGACTGCTTCTAGTATTGTATATCTCATGATTAAGTATCTCCCAAGGAGAAAAAAAAAGAAAGAGTGAAGAAACAAGTTGACCAGTTAGTGGAGGACTTGAAGAACTCATCTCATGATTATGCATCTAATTGGAAGGTCAATCACCACCCAAGATGAAGAAAACTAATTAAACACAAATTTTCTTTCGGATGAATGTTTCAAACCCCTTTGCCTACCCAACGAAGACAAAAGAAAAGAAACCAAGACGAAGCCCAACTGAAAGTTGGCACTTAGCCACTAATTATACGTACAGTGATTTCCTTAATTCTCACGAACTCTCCCCTTGCAATTCCACATCTCTCAATCTAACTCTAGCTCTGGCTAATCACACCACCAGCACAACTTATCTTTCGGTTTGCATCGGTCTATTAAAATTCGATTTTGTTCACGTACACCACACACGTACGAGAACCCAAAGGAAGAATGACACCAATGACTAGTGCACAAGTAATTGCGATTTTCGTTCTGCTGACCACCGTCGGGCTGGCAGCGGCCAACAAAGACTGGGGATACGGCGGCGGAAACAACGGTGGCTGGGGTGGCAATGGCGGGTTCCCAAGGCACCGCCCGGTGGAGGATCATTACAGCCCCCGCCGGAAGGTGGTGGTGGGCGGGAATCAGACGCATTGGCAATTCGGCTTTGACTACACCAACTGGGCCATGCGCAACGGTCCCTTCTTCGTCAACGACACTTTAGGTAAGAACTAAAAACCAAACAAATCAAGCCCACCAGCGCCAGCCAATGAGGTGTGCCGGGAGGCCGTCTGCCTCTCGTATAGCTAGGCCCTCCGAATATTAGGGGTCTACATCATAGATTCATAGATTCGTAGTTTTATTAGTTTATTCATTCTCATATTATATGATGAGCTTTTACGTACCGTTTGGTAATAAATGAATCGAGAATTTATTTCATTGTAAAATGAATTATCGTGTCAAATGAATTCTTGTGTTTGGTATGTCATATTCAAATCTTTACAAATAAAATGAATTGTCATGTAGATTTAATTGTCAAATGAATTCATGTGTTTGGTATGTCATATGTATAAGTAATTAGTTAATAAAAGAGAATAATTATGTCATTCTATCATAATTAGTAAATACTTGTGGAATTCATTTGAAGATTCCATCTCAATTACTCGGAAGTGCTATAACTAGTTCCAATTCCATAGGTTCAAAATTTAGAATTGGAAATGAATTATTTTAAATACCAAACATAAGAATGTTTCATTTCAAAATGAATTCCTTATAACTTATGGAATTCATTTATACCAAACGGTATGTTAGTGAAAGATTGATTGATTATGGTTATGTTAATGCATTTAAATTGTTGATTAACACGAGTGCTAGTTATTTGGTCAATATTCTCGTGTGTGTATATATAAAAACGAGACATATATATATTCTTCATTAAAATCATATTTGTGTTTATAAACCCTATTTGTGTTATAAAATGATACAAGAAATCTTTAATGCATTAACGTTGATGATGGTCTAAAACAATTTCTCGAAAAATACAAAATGTGAAAATTTTATTTGAAAAATTTATTTCAAATTATTTTTTAAATAATTGATATGATGATCATTTTCATTTTACTATACTTAAATAAAATTGAACTACATCTCAATTTCAGAACAGGCCTCTATGACCCTGAAGCCCACTTACCAATTTAGTGGTTTTTGTGATTTTGTTAAAATGGTTGGACTTTCTTTCATTTTGGGCAGTGTTTAAGTATGAGATGCCGGCGGACAACAGTTCGCGGCCGCACAGCGTGTACCAGCTGCCGGACCTCCGGAGCTTCCTGAGGTGTGACGTCAGCAAGGGGAAACTGCTGGCCAACTGGACAGATGGCGGCGGCGAAGGGTTCGAGTTCGTGATGGACAAGTGGCAGCCTTATTTCTTCGCCTGCGGTGAGGCTAATGGAATCCACTGCAATATTGGGAAGATGAAGTTCTTCGTCATTCCATTCCTCCGCCGTTGGAACTTCTGATCGACTATCTCCATCCTCGCTGGCGAGAGTGGTGCCTATGAATTTTGGACTTGGTCTTTGAATTTTTTTTAGCTCTATCATATATATGCATGGCTTTATTTTGAGTTTTCGCCTCTATGATTTGGAAATTGGAATAAAACAATCTTTGGAGCTTATAAGCATGGTTCATGAAACCGTACCGGATATCATACCGGAAAAGTCAGCGGTATGATATTTTATGATAAATTCGTGGTTTAATCGTAGTTCAATCGTTAGACCGTTAAATACCGTCTACCGATTTAGCCTTCGATATTGATATTTCGTGGTTAAACCGCCGATACGGTACGATTTCATGGACCGTGCTTATAAGTAATTATGTAGCTTGGTATAAGGGTAATTAAGGCTCCGAATACTATAACAACACTCATAGTGTTGTTATAGTAACAACAGGGGTAAAAACGGAAATTAACAACAAAATTAAAAAAATACATTTTCAAGTCCTAGCTGCCGTCTCTCGATCTCCCGTACGCTTCCCTCCGCTGTCGGCAAGAACGCGGCTACGACTCTACGACTCCGATCTGGCGGCTACGACTCGTATCTGGAAGCTACGATTGAGGCGTCCTTCAATCCCCGTCGTTCCTTCTTTCTTCCACCGTCGAGGTCGCTCGTTCCCCTGTCGTTCCTATTCGTTGCCGTCAATCCTTAGTTCATCTGTGACCTGCAAAACAGAGCATCAGAAGGCAGGGAACAACCACAAAAACAACGATTCAACACACACGAATACGGAATCATCATCGTCATCAGCTCAATCTTCGTCGTTCAGCACGGAGCAAGAGCCAACTGTTCCACTGACCGTCGGATTTTCGACGGGATACGTTGCAGGATCTTCAATGGGGAAGAAGTAAGGTGGGTCGGCTCCATCAATTCTCCTTCTTCAACCTTCGCATGCAGAGGATTTTGTGTCAAGCCCCCTCTGTCACCGCTGTCCTTCAGCTCTCAGATCTGCTCTCTCCTCTCGCTGGCGGCTTCCGATATTTCTCCGGCAACCCATCAGAAAATGAAAGAAGTTATTTACAAAAAAAAAAAGGCAAGAAGTAGAAATTCGAACGCAGAGAAGAAGGGCGGGGGATTTCATGGTTCCTTTAATTTCACTTTCTTTCTTTCTTTAGCTTTTCTGCTATGGTTTGTTGTTCTCGTTTTGATGAAGAAGGAAGGGTGGGAGAGGGAGAGGGAGAGGGAGTCGGAGAGATTTTTTTTTCGTTGAAGAGTTGGAGAGATTTTAGAGGAGGTGATAATATGTGAAAATAAAAAATAATGATTTTCTTAATTTATTGTTATTTTATGATAAAATATTATTAACATAAAAATAAATAAATAAACCTACGAGAAACCTTTTAATGAAGCCTACATATTCCCTGAAACATTCTAGAAGCATTACAAAGCAAACCACAAATATTAATTATGCACACCATAAACCTTCTAATGCATACCACAAATCGCCTAAAGCATACTAGAAACCTCACAAAGTAAACCACAAATATTTTATAAGCACACCAGAAACCTCATAATGCAAACCACAAACACGATAAAGCAAACCACAAAAACAAACCAGAAACGTCCTAATGCAGACCAAAAATCGAATAAAACAAACCAGAAACCTGACGAAACAAACCACAGTATTTTCAAAAACACACTAGAAACCTCATAATACAAACCACAAACACGTTAAAGCAAACTACAAAAACAAACCAGAAACCTCCTAATGCATACCACAAATCTCCTAAAACAAACCACAAACCCCTCAATGCAAACCACAAAAAATTTGAAAGCAAACCAGAAACTTCTCAATGCAAACCACAAACACGATAAAGCAAACTAGAAACTTCTTAATGCAAACCACAAACACGATAAAACAAACCACAAAAGGCATACAAAAATACGAGAAACCAAACCATAATTCTCACAATGAAGACCATAACATTCGGTGGTAGTTGACCGTTGACCGGTCAACGAATTTTGTTGACCGAACTCCGATGACCGTTAGTGACCGGATTCCGACACAGATAGGCATATTCTGGCCCCGATGACTAGATTCCGACGCCGGTAAGCATATTCCGGCGACGAAAATAAATTTTTTTTTTAATTTTTTCATAATGACAATTATACCCCTGCTTTGATTTTACACTAGGTCAACTCAACTAATAAAAAGTCATCACAACCCTAGCTTCCTATTGGTTGGAGACTAGTGTTGTTACAATAACAACAAATATGGTGTTGTCACCATATCCGCTCCCGGTAATTAAGCAGGCATCAACAATTTTAGCTTATCCACGCAAAAAGAAAAACCAATGGAAATTTTTCCCCCGATTTGTTGTTAGCTCCAAGGTTCCAACCTAACGTGTGTTGGTTGTTCTCAACCATAACTTTTTCTTGTTGTATCTGCTTTTTTTTTTTTTTTTTGTTGCCAAAGCTTGTTGTATCTGCTTGACAATTAAGAAGTGTGACTGCATTGTCAAAGATTTTTTTTATGAAGGCTAAAAGCTTTATTAAAATCAAATCAATTCACATAGTACTGCCATAGCAAAGACAAGAGGCAATGAAAAGAAGAATTTAACATAAACAGTGGGGCAATGAATTGTTAAAGAATTATCATCCTACTTATAAGATGGTCTTATTTGTGTAACTTTACAAAGGGATGTTACACGGTATATACTTGCATTACATGGTCGTCTAACTTAAAGTCCAGACTGTGTGACAGTCTGTCAGTTTCCATGGTTTCTTGGGTTAAGTTACACATTCATGTAACTCAACCGCCAACCTGTGTAACTCAACACTTCTTCCTCCGAAGTATCATCTATCATTCAATTGTCTCGAAACTTGCTCCTTAACCTTCAATTACGTCCTAGGACCTGAAATATCAATAATAACATAACCTAGCGTAACATAGGCCTTTTATGGAAGAACCAAGCTCAAACGACCAAGAAATGAGGTAATAAACATGTGTATTTATAACGTTATCACACAACCCTTTTCTTAATAGCGAACTCAGTATGCTTCCTTGGTGAAACTTCCAAATGATACCCCAATTTCAAAGTATACACCCAATATGCTTCGTCCTCCCGCACAAGACGGTCCTAAATAGAGGAACTCGGCAAAGGAATTGCCTTGATGGCTCGAACAATTTCCTCCTCAAAATTCTGACGCAGACAGTCTAAACACCAGGTACCCTGCTCAAGATGAATTGAAGAAGTCACTATTCCTTGCACCTGAACAATGCCCTAATGAGGTCTAGGCGGCATCGGATGGAAGGCTAGAACCAAGTTAACTGCAAGCACATCCAACCATGATCCCGATCCAATCTGCCATCATAGGCCTTCAACGAATAAGTCACTTCCTCTAAGAATTCCTTGCCAACCCCAAGATGACAAAGCCCGCGATTTTGCCTCCAAGATAGACCAGTGCATAAAGTATATACCCTTGTACAAACGAGCTAATAACGACTCCAGCTCCTTCCAGATGTGTCATGCAATCTTAGCTAGAAGAGACTGATTAAACTCCTCAAACCTCTGAAAGCCAAACCCACCATCATGCTTGACTAAACATAACGACTTGCAGGCCACCCAATATCGAATCATCTGTACAGCCAATTGAAAAGTAAAGAAAATTTAAAGATCAAAATTAGATAAAAATGTATTTGATGTGGTTTGGTATGTTTTAAATGTACATTTATGATTTTTAATATAAAGAAAAATCATGAAATTGAGAATCGGATCGCATGACGCTCGAAATCATCTCAATATCGGTTTATAAAATTGTTGCACACCTCCAATTAGACCTAGGCATATTAATGAAACATGTACAATATGATTAAAAAATATTTGGTCAAGAATTTTGATTTGACAACCATTTCCGAAGCAAATATATATAGTTGTTTGTCCCTCACTAACCTCCAACGTCTATCTTTTTGCTTTCCCCTCTGCTATCAAATTTATCACTATGTTTGCCAAGTAGTGGTACAAGTTGATGTGTAAATTTTAGGGTTTGTAGATAGTAGGGGTGTAACTGAAGGTGTAAATTGTTGTTTGAAAAAGAAAAATAAGAAGTGCAAATAGAGTGAAAAGTAAGTTAATTATATTACTGTAAAATAAAAACATAAAAATTACGAAAAATTATCATACAATATTCACACTTAAATAAATATTAAATAATAAAATGAATCATTAAATAATATTTAATTCAATTTGGTCAACCAAACATTTTCTATTTGATCAATTGAGCCTAGTCAACCAAATATTTACTCGTTCTACTTTTTCATGACCCTTCTTCTTTCTAATTTCCAACACAAATTCAAAGCAAACTTAATTAAACACGTTCAACAATTGAAGCGAGTTTGATAATAATTTATGATTTAATAGTAATTATTAGTTATTCTTACTATCTTAATAATAACAATTATCATTAATTTTATTATTTAAAAAAGATAATCATGTATTGATTGGAAAAGAGATCTCACAAATCACACTCTGGTATATAGCCAGGAACGTAAATCAAAAGGCAAAATACACTTCCATAGCAATAACTTTTACATTTGTGACAAATATAGACATAACTATCGAAATACACGCATTAGCCAAAAAATCGTACTATAGTGTGACAAATCTAGCCATTTCCGTTAAAAAATTTAACGACGTCAGTTAATGTGGCGAAACGCTGACTAGGACCATACACATCCCACATGTAAGCTCCCGGTTAGCAAAATTTAACATGTCAAATAAATAAAAATTAATAATTTTTTTCTTTCTCATACCCTACCTTTGAGGCCCGCCTCCTCACCCCCTTTTTCCAAAACTCGTTTTAGGGTTCCTAAAGACCCATCCTAATCAGCTGCGCTGGAGAAGAGTCGCTGCTTGTCGTCGATTGAAGGCTTCCCTCCGTTGGTAGTCCTCACTGGGCCCCTGGTCGCGTCCCTGGCGGTGCCTCCACTTTTCCAATTTCACTTTCAGCCTTCTCCATTTCCAGCGTCACAGAAGGGTTGGATTGGAGATGTCAAGAGGGTCTCTTCCTCTGCGACAAGCATCGATGGTGATGGCCTCGTCAATTGCAAGCACAATGTTGATGCCTTAGTAAAAACATCTTGTACTGATGATAACCCAGGCAGGCACTTCTATAGATGTCCATATTGGAAGGTAAAGAGGAGCGGTGAATTCTCGAAACGATGAATGTTGTTTGAGGGTTTGTTTGTTAATTGGAATGTTGTCATTGGGCAGGATGTGAAGAAGAAATGTCGCTTTTTTAGGGTTTGTTTGTTAATACTGCAGCTAGAACAGAGTTTGCGCATTGCTGAGTCTAAAGTAGAGAGGAGGAAGAAGGATATGAAGAGGATAGCTCAAGAAGGAAGGAGAGTGAATGAAGATGTCCGTGCAATTCGGTTTATGTTAACCGTTATTGTTGTATTGAATGCCTTCATTCTTCTTATTGTGTGGTGGCATCAATTTGTGATTTAGAAGTAGTAAGTGCAAGATAAGTGGTACTGATGTTGTTTTTTTTAGAATGCTTGAACAATATAACTGTAATGGTGTCTTCAATTTGGTATTTAGAAGTAGTAGGTGCAAGAACAATATAACTGTAATGTTGTTTTATGTCCAGAATGCTTGAAGTGAAGTGGTAGTTGCAATAACTTTAATCGAAAAAATGGGCATAGAGTAGTAGTTCTTAATGAACATAACCGCCTAGATTACAACCATTCATGGATAATACAAAAGGGGCACTACATAACATAGTAGTCCTTAACGGACATAACCTCCTGGATTACAAGATGTCATTAACTTACAACAAGTTCTAACAAAGTGCCCTATTACAGTTACTTGAGTCGACTTCGAAGCTTCCTTTATGGAAGTCATTACATGGGGGCTGACGAAAATAAATCGACTCGTTATGGCTCCGTCTAAGGTTGCATGACAAGGGGCTGATTTCCCTGGGCATCCATAACTGTTGGCTGAGTACCATCCACTGGACGACCATTTGCTCCATTCAGCTGGAAAATAAACATGTAATCAACAACGTATACAACCATATAAAAGCAACAAATGGTGTAAACCACTAGCCTTACCCTAACATAGGTATTTCAAGTGGACTCGGCTACATATACACCCTCTTCATCTGTTGCAACTCGCAACTCTCGTGCAATTGTCCTTCGATCACCAACATTTAACCTCACATCCTACAGAATACATCCCATCATAACCACATTCTTCACAACAAGTAAAAAGACTCATACACAAATTAATTTACATGTATTCCAGCCCCTTGGTTAAGGGGACAAGTTCTTGATTTGTGGGTATTCAAACCACACTTCAAATAATGACCCACCCTTGGCCTCTTTCCGGTGTTATGAGCTGTTGGCTGAGAAGTTGGTTGTGGCATTGGCTGAAACCGCGCCTTCTTCTAGCTGCCCATAGTTTAGATAGAAACGGGGACTTAACGAACGACCATTGACCGCCTTTCTGTTCCGAGTCTCTCTCCCTGAGGAAGACCTCTAATTACCGATTTGAACTACCATCGGAAGCCTCCTCTAGTCCCAAAGGGAAGACAAATTTGTATGAATTTCCTCGTTCCATTGGATTCGTTTTCGTTGAAAGATAAAGATATTCAGTTATTGCTGCTTCGGCAAAACAGTTGGGGGAATCCTATGATATTAAAGTATAAAAACTTCCATGCCTGCCTTCCAGTCTTTGCAGTCTTCAAAGCTTCAGTTTTCCCCAATTTTTTCCATTCCTCTGTGTAAATAACCTAATATCAGTTCAAAGTCAATAACATCTTCACTGTCTAGAGTAACCACAAGGTGGAGTAGATTTGGAGAACTGCAACTCAAAGATGTAGAGCCACTTTTACTGTATTCAAAAGCAAGCTAAGATTCATCAGAAAAGTAAGTAGCTGTCGGAGTAGAACGGAAGGCGAGGAGCTTACGATGTCTTACGTAAGAAGGGCTTAACTAGAGGAAAAGAAAGGTCAAATACACCAACTCATTTAGTATAGTAAAACTCAACATACGACGCAAAATCTTTCTGTTCAATTCCAAATTAACTCATGAGATAGACTTGAATTTCTTATATTTTTGGAAACATGCGTTCCTTTGGTCGAGCAACTTTTGGTTTTCCTGTAGCTGGATCCTCCGGAACCACAAGAATCCTTAGTTAGAATGGGATTCCAGTTCAACACCTTTTGAGAAGAGCCAAATAAAAGGATTTTGGTTGTAGTTTTCCTTGAGACGATCCAAGGCGGGGTGGCTCTGTTCTAGGGCAAAAAGCACACACTGAGTTAAAAATACGTACTAAAAATCTAGTACATTCCGTTTTGTTTCTCATCCTAGTATTTCGCGATACTTCAGGTTTACTTAGCTGCAGAAGTGTTTGTTTTTCAAACAAGTAAACGACAATCATAATTAAAATCCCCCACATGATGTAATGCATGAAACAAGTCAAAACTAGTTATTGATAGTCTCACTTGTCTCTCGGGAGCAGCAACAACGGGCTCTTTGTAGGTTCATGCATTATGCCCCTCCGTCCTGCACTTGCTTCAATGAATGTCAGTTACCCTCCTTGACACTTCCTCGCCATTTCCGTGAGCCTATGGTCGAACCTCAAGCTCATGAGCAGCTTTCCTCTGGTTCTTCTTTGGCCTTCCAGGCTGCGCCCTTTGTTTGTGAGGGGATAACGGATGACTAGGGGCTTCAGGCCATGCATGTCTTCCATCCAAGCAAGGGATGCCAACCTTGTAGCTCTCTAACATATTCTTCACATGATATGAAACATGTAACCCCTAATCCCCTTGAGCATATATATGATTCTCATACCCCTATATTTGAAAATTGAGCCATTCCAGGTTTAACAGATGTTACTCTCGACTGAGTCACACTTAGGTAAATGAGATAAGAAGGCTCGGTAGAAGTATCTAGGGTCTTGCTCCATGAAGTCCTTAAAAGGTGTGTTAAGTGGGTCATTACCTTCAATCTCCTATAATTCAGCAGTCGCCTTCTTCCAATCAACTTCATTGCAAGCATAGACTGTCTTGTTTTTAGCCTTCCAGTTTGCATATACATGCTTGCATACTTCGATGCTCCGCATTTTGTAATAGGTTACGTAAAGCATCAACCAATCCCTAACACAGGAGATAATAGTATAAGTATTGGAAATTTCAAAATTCTATATAAATTCATATTGAATAAGGAACAATAATCTTACCTTTTGTTGATTGGATATGACAATCCAACCCCTTCCATCGAATAAGTTCAATTCCTGGGACAAGATGTTCACAAACTACCTCCACAAATTTGAATTTTCACCCTCCACAATTACCCAAGTAATTGAGAACATTTGATTGTTCCCATCCTTCCCTACAACAGTAAGGAGTATCCATTTCACCTTTCCCTTCAAGAAACAGACGTCCAAGCTAAACATCAGACGACAGCTAAACGAAAATCATCTCGTAGGGTTGAGAACCTAACATACAGCCTATGGAAGAAGACTAGGAATGGCAATGGGGCAGGTCCGAGGCGGGCTTCTTGGTACCCTGACCCGCCCCGTGGCAGGTCGGGTAATAGATCACGGGTCACGGGTCGGGGCAGGTCGACCCAATGGGTATGCAATTTATATGAAAAAATTAGAAATATTCGTTATTTTTAGTATAAGACTAAGAAAACAAACAATATTATGAAAATTGTAGTTAAATTATTAGAGAAATCGAGGTTTTTACTAATTTACAACTTTATTATAGCTAAAATATGATGCAATAAAAGGAAAATTCTATGTAATTTGACTAAGATTACATGTAATTTAGACAAGAACGGGTCGAGAACGGGGCGGGTCAGGGCAGGTAGGGTCGATGAGACTACCCATGCCCGCCCTGCCCCACCTACGGGGCGGGTCGGACCCGCCCCAAAATAGGTCAAACAGGTCGGTTAAAACGGGTCAGGTCGAAATTTCCATACCTAGAAGACCTTCTTCCGTGTAGGGTGCAGTTCTACCTCCAAAACAAATCCCCCTATCGATCTCGTTTAAGCAATTTAACAATATAACTCCTTATACCATGGAACTCCTCCTCTAAAGAGCAACTTAGCATTTTAATAGCTTCCACCTTTGCCTAGTAAAATGTTCTCTTTTTAACTTCCATATTGTGATTCAACTTGATTCCTACCATAATCTGATCATGAGCCCATTCCGGGTTGATTCTGAATCTATCCAGCATATCGACTGCTTGCTTAGTTCTGGCAGCGTCTTCACGTTCCAAATGATCACGGATAACCAATTTCGACTTCAGGATCAATCTCCTCATCCATTTCATCCTCAGATTCCTCTTCAAACTTATCCAATTGGTCTACCTCTTCCTCATGACAATCAACCCTTCCCTTAACTTTCCTTTTCCTCATCTCCCCATAGGCTTGTAAATTGGCCCTTGCCTCATGGTACTCGTCGTCCGCCGTATCTGCATCATCGGAGTCATACACATGTACTAGGTCACGAGCAACAGAAGCAACCCTATCCTCTGCTGCCCAGCTAGCATCCAAGTCTTCTGGTTGGTTTGGATCATTCTCTCCTACCAGCTCCTCCCGGGAATCAGCCATATGGAGAGAAATAATACGTTTTGTGTGGGGACAACGACAAAGCAACCAATTATGTCATTAACCTAATATAAACAACTTTTAATTCACTATCAAACAAATTCCACCCACAACCATTCACCATTATTCTATGCCACAAATTTTAGCTACCAAGTACGCAATTACTATTGTACCCAGAATTTGGAAGTGCTAACCTTCAAATTCAGGGGCAAATTGGCGACACAAGAGTGGGCAGTGGTCCCTGGTGGAATCTGCTTCGTCACTTTCCAACCTTTACAACAAGCTTTGACTAAGAAAATGAGACAAGCACTCAATAAGAACCTTTCCCCACCATTGAAAGCCACAACCCCACTATTTGAAGAGTACCAGTACTCACTAGCCTCGACAACCGAAGAGAAAAGAAATCATTGATCCTGGATGCTATTAGGGTTTTGTGAAAAAACTTTCCTCGGATTTCCTAGCATGCGACGGTGCCTTTGCCATCACCAGGATGCTTGAGTTTCGTCGGGAAATGGCCGTCGTAGGTCTATTACGCCGGAAGAAGCATGCATGAATTCATCTGACTATGGAGGCGACGATGGGTAATGGATGTTTATATGTGAAACTAGAGTTGGGATAGGGAATTCTGGGTGGTCAGGGCGCCGATCGGAATAGGGCGATGGTTGTTGGGGGGTAGATCGTGGTTGTTGGGGTAAATCGCCGTCCGTCGTCTTAAGGAAGAAAGAGAGACCAAGGGCTGAAGACTTGGAGAAGACGAGGAAATGGTTGGGTGGAGTCATTTTCCGTGTTTTACATTTATTTTTATTTTTATTTTTTTTCTAGTCCACGTGGATTAGTGGGCTACCCTATTGCTATTCCGACCTACAAATGGTACAATAAGACCATTATGATTTTCTAGCAAAGAACGAACTTCCTCCAGAATTGCTCCAGAGAGATTATCCTACTTACCGGGTTGGTTGACCTTATCAATGACCACATTCGCGTCCTCTTCGAACCAAACCCGTGAGATACCACAACCCAGACACCACTAGATGGCCTCGTGCAGGACTAATAATTCAACTACTGATATATCATCAATATAATTAATAAGAAGACCTCGATTGAAGACAATCGAACTACTTTGATCTTTGGAATCATCCCCCTCACCCCCCCCCCCCCCCCGGCGCCGAAAGTGAACCATTCCTCATCGTGCCATCCCACATGCAAATGGCCAAACCAGGGATGGAAGTAATCACACTTTCATTATGGGGGAGGGGGGTGAAGCCACTCTGTCAACTGGTAAACCAATCCATTCCTGGACTTGCTGATGGTATACCTCATCAAAGACATAACACAAAACTATTTCCCCCTAAAGACAACCCAATTCATGGACTTTCATATCCGTCAAAGAGCCACCACAACTAGCATACTATGATGATGTGGTTGATTAAGCAGTAACATATTTTTTTTTAGAAAGATGTGAAAATTGTGGCGAGGGAGCCCTTGACCTAAAGATTCTAGACTTGCATGAGCCCAAATCACCCTTGCCACCACACAGTAAAAAAGGGATGCTCCATAGTCTCCTAGTCATCCCAGTACACCAGGCATCATGGTAACACTTGACCTTTCTTCTCAATCAGCGCTTCCGTGGTAGGAAGAATGCGATTGAAAATTTGCCAGAGGAAAATCTTTATCTTAAAAGGGATAAAGAGCTCCCATACCCAAATCCAGCTCGAGCAATCAATCCAACTAATAGTCTGACGCCACCTGCCTTGCCCATGATCAAGTAGAACCGCTAGGTGATAAGCAGACTTCATAGTGAACAATCCATTACTAGTATCATGCCAAACTAGAAGAATCCTTTATATCGAGGCGCGATAGAGAAATTACTTTGATAGCTCGTGCTACCGTTGGCAAAAACAAGTGACTAAGCAGCTCCACATTTCATCTGCTTTCCCCTATTCACATTAACTCGGCAACTATTGGATTACTCCCCTCCGGTACCATCTGAGGTTATCATGCAGGGGTGGGTGGATGCAACCTCGGAACCCAACTGGAGTTCCGAATGGAGGAAAACCGATTGTTCCAATCTTCTAGCGCATACCTTGCTGGAGCAAGTGACGGCCATAAAGGATACTCTGTCAGCCCCATGAGGATCGAGAGCGTGCTGTTGCCGTGAGAAAAGACCCAGTTGGGGAATATTTATTTTATCAACCTGGGCCAGGAGGGACTACGGTTCGTTAAGGATCCTCCACCCAATCTTGGACAAGAGGGCCTGATTAAAATGTTTGAATTGTCGAAAACTCATTCCCCCTCATGCTTACTTCGACACATATTACGCCAAGACATACAACAAATGCGGGACTGCCTCCCTCAACCCCCACCAAAATCGTGCTACATGTTTCTCCAATATGAGAGAGAGAGAGAGTTTGAAATAGGACATCACCTGGAGAGGAAGTAAGGAAGCCACTAATTTGATCAATGTCTCCTTCGCTGCCCATGACAAAGTCCTCTGCTTCCATCCCTATAGTCATTGAAGTAGCTTCTCATCAAGATACCTGAATGTCGCAATATTTTACTGAGCAATAAGAGAAGGGAGGCCCAAGAACTTGTCCTGCACCCCCACTGCTCCTACACCCAGAAGCTGGGCAAGCGTCTCCTGGTTTGGTTGAGAAATATTTTTGCTAAAATAGACCGTAGAGTTAGCAAGGTTGACCCTCTGGCCACTTAATTCCTTAAACTCATTTAGGACCTCAATCATATTCTCACATTCCTGTAATAATCATGTAAGGAATAAGTATGAGTCATCTACACAAAAAGAGATGTGATACCCGGGGAGCCCTAGGGGCCACCTTGATTCCTGCTAATTTCTTCTCAAAAAGAGCTTTCCAGAGTAGTGTCTCAAACCCCTCCGTATAGATGACAAAAAGTAGGGGGGATAATGGGTCAACTTGTTGTAGCCCCCTTGTCGGTTTATTGAACCCAAACGGGGTACCATTCATCAGATTAAGAAAGAAGAGGAAGCCATACATTTTTGAATCCACCTTATTCACCTTGGCTCAAAATCCATTTTTTATAAAACTTCTAGTAAGAAAGGCCACTCAAATATGTCATAGGGGACGGGATACGGTGACAACCCCTAAGGGGTTGTCAGATTCACAACCCACTTCATAGCCCTTGGATACGTTCTCTCTCCTGTTTTTTTTCTTTTTTTAAATTAACGGTTAAGAATAAAGGAAGGGTATTTTTGGAAGGGTAAAAATTTACCACACCCAATCATTCACCCTACCATATAAAAAGAAAAAAAAAACCCTAACTCCTTCCTCCATCCTCCCTCTCTCCCGTAGCCATCTCCACCATCGGCGTCGGCGCCCCTCCGCCATCTCCACCGTCGGCGTCGGCGCCCCTCCTCCTTCAGCCGCATCTCGTCACCTCCGCCCTCAGCCGCCTGTCGGCGCTCCTCCGCCTTCAACCGCCATCTTCAGGCGCCTGTCGGCGCCCCTCTCGCCGCCCTTCGTCCCCCACCACTGCTGCCGTCGCGAGGTCACCCTCTTCCCCTACCTCTCTCTCCCGTCACCGACTCCCCTTTTCTAGATCTGGTTTTTTAGTGGTACCATTTTTTTCTAGTAGCGTACCAGTGATAGTGGTACCAGTGATAAGGTAGCTGGTAGTGGCAGCGTACCACTATCATCTGGTACCACTATCATCTGTTTTTTTGTGTTATTATCTACTGGTATCGCTACCAATGCTAGTGGTACCGCTACCAGTGCTAGTGGTACATTTATTCTCTACTGGTACCGCTACCAATGGTAGTGGTAGCGTTGTACTGGTAGCGTACCACTAGTACTGGTATATTTTTTAACGCATTGGTAGCGTACCACTAGCACTGGTATATTAATTACCAGTAGACTAATGGATTGGTACACTTTTTAACGCACTTGTACATTTTTCAGGTTGCCAGAGGGAGTCTGCCGGAGAGAATTCGCCGAAGAAAAAGTCTGTCCGTCGATGCGGAGTGACCGCTGGAGAAAGGAAGAGAGAGATAGATAGAGATATTAATGTATAGGATTTAAATTTTAAAAAAAAATTGTATTTAATATGGGTTTTTAATTCCCAATATAATTAATACACAAAATGTAATTAATATATTCCTTTTTTCCATACCCAAAATACCCTTGGTTGTGAATCTGACAACCCCTAAGGGGGTTGTCACCGTATCCCATCCCTATGTCATAGACCTTCTCCATATAAACTTTGAGAGCCATATAACCCTTCTAGCCCTTAGTTTTAATTTTCAGGTAATGCATCAATTTGTGTTCAATGAAGACATTATCCACCATCTGTCGTTCCCGAATGAAAGCATTCTGCCCCGACGAAACAATCTGGGGAAGGAATTGCGCCAACGGTTCGGACAAGATTTTAGCAATGGTCTTATACACAAATTGACATAAAATTATGGGTCTCAACTGGCACATATTCTCCACATTGTCCACTTTGGGAATTAAAGTAAGCCAAGTGTGGTTGAAGCTTCGTAACATTCGCTTCGTCCTAAAGAAGGAACGGATAGCTTCAACCACCGACTCTCCGACAATATCCCAAAAGGAGCGAAAAATTTACCAGTGAACCCATTCATGGCATCCGTAACCGACCTCTCAATCGAGAGATCTGCCACACGAGCAACCATGTTCCCCACATGATTCTTAGAGGTGAACAGAGTCTAGTAAAAATTACTAGCAATGTTCGCCTTCCCTTTCTCCTCCTTTATCCAGTTCTCATTGTCATCATATAAGCCTGTCATAAAGTTCCTCTTCCTTCTTGCCTTTGTGAGAGTGTGCAATTAAGCAGAGTTACGATCACCTTTCTTAAGCCAGCGAACCCTCGACTTCTGCTGCCAATAAATTTCTCCAGCCTCCCATTGGCGGCTGAGATCTATCTCTAGGTCCCTAACCTCATCCCAATTGATGGGATGCACCTTCTTGACCCGCTCAATCTCATCCTTGAGGGTCTTGATATTTCTCAAGGAATTCGTTGTGCCGGCCCTGCTCCAATCATACAAGAGATGACAGATCGTTTTAAGCGCACCCAGAGCTTGTACATCGGGGGCCCGTGAATTGGTTCAGTCCATATGTAAGTAGCCATATATTGCTCGTACCTCCGGATTTTCTGCCCACCTGGCATCAAATCGGAAGAGTAGACGACTATTATGAGTGTAACGTTTATGAGATAACAACAAGGAATCAGTGATCACACATTATAATAACTACAATATCAATTTTAACAAACATCTCTTCCTCCTCTCTCTCTTTTTGCACCCCAAATTGGGGGCGAGGGGAATAATTCAAGATCCCGTGGTATTTGTATGTCGTATATGATAATAAAAGTCAATATTACATCATGTGATCTCATGTTTATTTATTATGTTGGTGTAATATAATTTAGTTTCTAATTTTTAACAAATTCATATCAAGTTATTTAATAATAATTAGTAACTAAACATTCTATAATTTATAATTTCTCTTCAAACTATAAATATGACATATTGAGTCACATACTCATTATATATTATGAGATATATAATCTAATAAATATGAATTATGAAGAAGTTATATCATAAGTTATATATATATATATATATATTGATTCGCTTATAAGTCACTAGTTGAATTGGCTCGCTAACCACATTATCGAGCCAACTCACTAGTTGAACTCAATGCACCACTGAGACGAGCTAGCTCGAAAGCCTCATGAGCCGAACAAGGATATGCTCAGACAACGAGCCGAATTACAAATAATTTTCCCCCGAATCGAGCGTCAAGGCCCTCGTGAATAGAGATGGCAATGAGTCGGGTTGGGTTTTGCCAAATCCAAACCCATGGGTTTATCAGTGAAAAAAATCGGGGTAAAACCCATTGCTGGGTATCCGTGGGTTCATGGGTACCCACGAGTTTTTTTCGTAAAAAATTTACAATAACAAGTTCCTATCAAAATTAATGTCAAATATCAATCTCTCAATACAAACTATCCATATATAAAACACCATTTTAGAAAATTCAAGCAAATCACAAATTAACTATACAAATTGTTCAACACCAATCTACAGAACTCAAGAAAATTGAAGCAAATCACAAATTATCCATAAATAACATGATTCATGGAAAGCTTCTTCCTCTTTGTCAATTAAGTTTCTTCACTCTCCACTCGATAACATCAACTTCATTCTACACAATTAAAAAGAAAAAATTGGACATGTCTCCACAAAAATAAATAAGATTAGTTGTTTAGAATATTAAATATACCGAGAAAATTAATTATATGTGTGTGGGCGGGTACCCATGGGTGGGTTTACCTAAACCCAAACCCAACCTAACCCGAAGAATAGTGAACGTGTTTAAACCCAAATCAGACCCAAAACCTATCAACACAGGTTTTACCCGCATTGACCAGATTAGATCGGGTGGATACTAGTGGGTTCGAGTTTTGTTGCCATCCTACTCGTGAATAGGTTGGCTCAATTAGAACTATAGGTGTCAATCAGGCGGGTTCGGGCGGGTTCGGGCCGGGTTCAATCGGGTTGTGGGTTAGTCGGGTTGCGGGTTCGTCGGTTCGGGTTCAATCGGGTTCGGGTTTAATCGGGTTGCGGGTTAGTCAGGTTGCGGGTTGATCGGGTTCGGGTTCAATCGGGTTACGGGCAAATTGGGTTCGGGTTTATCGGGTTTTGGACCGGGCGGGTTGCAGGTTGTTCGGGTCAACGCATCGAGTTACTTACTCGTTACCAACTTACACATTTTATTACACTAATTTATAATATTTTTCACAGGATTTAATCAATTTCTTTCTACCTTGTATATATACTTAATTAAGAAAAACTAGTCAAAATCACCACAATCGAAATTTGAAATCTCGCCTTCCCACCACAACTAAAATTGGGCCGCCCAAAATTTCATCATCACCCGCCCACTACAATTACACCAAAAACACAAAACCCTTCCCTCTGCTTGCAAAAAATTGGGCGCTCAAAATTTCATCACACCCCGCCCAAAATTACTTCTTAGTGCTTACCCTGTCATCTTCTCCAATAATAAAGTTTATTATTATTGACAAAAGGTCTTAGTTATTATTTATTATAAATATTAGCATTGTGCTAATTTTATATTTATTTTTTTGTAATTTAGTTAAAGAAATTCATGTCATAACTTTTATAATTAAAAACCATAATTTTAAGTGAATTTCAGATTTTGAACTTTCTTAACTAAATCTGAATGATTTTACTTAGGTTGAGAATGAAAAACTTTCTTTGAAAACAATATATTTATTTTAACCAATTTATTTCTACCTCGTATATATATACTTAATTTTTTGAAAAAATGACTCAAAATGTTAAATCAATTTGTATGACTTGAAACTTGTTATGTAATTAATCGTAATTGGTAAAGTACACTAGCTAATAGTAATGGTGATATCAATATTTAAAATCAAAAGATACCATTAATTATTTATTTGATATTTTAGTATTATTTCAGTAGTGTAATTGGATTAAAGTATCTCATTTAGTATAACCATGCAAATGTGGTATTTGGCGTGTGGTATTAGGCAAAAGCAGAGTGATAAAAGGAGTTATTTCGAAATAACTTATTGCCCAAATAACTTCAGTAAACTGTTGCCAAACGAGTTGTTTGTAAAATTGTTCGAATTATCCTGAAAATTGAACCATTAAAGATTAACTATCAAATCTAGTAAAATTATTGGGACTTCAATCATAACTTACTCAATAACATATATCCTATACACTTAGCCTTACCCTCAATCGACAATATTAAGTTAGCATATGTTTTTTATTGTATACCCTAACCATCAATACATTATACACTAACCACATACCCTATACCCTAACCATATGTCCTTATGAGTTGTGATTTTGCTAGTATAGTTAATTTATAACTGAAATTCATACTTTGATTTTCAAAACATAGATAAAAAGTGATATTTGCTAATTGCTATACCTTAACCATATATCTTATTCTCTACATCATATACCTTGTACCTTAACCACGTACCACAAACATAAATTAAAAAGGGATCTCCTATCGTTAAAGACATCAAATGACTTCAAGTGAACATATGTTAATAAAAAAATTAGAACCGTCAAAACCATCAATATCTTATACCCTAACCATATACTCCCTAAACCATCTGTACCTTATACCATTTACCCTAACCAATATATTTTATACCCTAAACAACGAACCGTCATAGCTTACTTATCAAGTTTAGTATAATTGTTGTAACAAATGCTTAATTTATTTATTAGCCCATAAACAATTACACACACACATATATATATTATCCTTCAAAGCATATAAGAATAAATTTAACTAGTCATGCCCTCCATATAAAAATTAAAAATTCATATTTGATATTTCAAAGGCTAAAATTTTGAAAAACAAAAAAGTTGAAAACACCAAATTTGTTTCATTCTTTCTTTTCACAAAAAAAAAAAACTAAAATTTCCCTCCTTCTTTCTCTTTCCATAAATTAGAAACACTCAATTTCCCTCTTTTTTCTCTTCCATAAAATTGAAAGAACCAAATTTCCCTCTTCCTTCCTTCCACAAAAAGTTGAAAACTCAAAATTTCCCTCCTTATTTCTCTTTCATAATCAAAAGAACCAAACTTTCCCACTTCTTTCTATTCCCACAAATCAAGACCACCAAAATTTCCACTTGTTTCTTTTCTAAAAAATTCAAATAACCAAATTTCCCTCTTCTTTCTCTTCCAAAAAGTTGAATACACCAAAAATTTCCTCTTCTTTTAAAAACATCAAATTACCAAATACATTACTTTATTTTATTTATATTTAATTGATAATTTTATTGAATAGTTGAATTAACCAAAATTTTAATTTATATATTATATTAATATTGTCCATGATCTCAATTATTAATTCTTCATTATTAATATTGACATTATGTTGATTTTATATTTACTTTTTAAATTTTGTTAAAAAACTTAGTGTTCAAGTGACCTTCATGTTTCAATTTTTGTAATTTTATTAAAATACATAATTTAAAGTGAGTTTCATATTTTTTAAATTTCCCATACGAAATGAAAAATAATTTTACCTAAGTTTAGAATGAAAAACTTTATTTTGAAAAACTATGTCTTGTATATTATAATAATTATTTAAGTGGACTAAGTGAGGTTCGGGTTGAGTCGGTCGGGTTACGGGTTAGTCGGGTTCGGGTTAATTGGGTTGCGGGTAAGTCGGGTTGCGGGTCAATCGGGTTCGGGTTAATCGGGTTGCGGGTCAGTCGGGTTGTGGGTTAGTCGGGTTGCGGGTCAATCGGGTTGTGGGTCGGGCGGGTTTAGGGGTGTTGACTTTTAGTCAATTCGAGTTGCGATCGGGTTGCGGGTCGGGTTGATCGGACAGGTTAATCGGGTCGGACTATGTTTTGACACCTCTAATTAGAACCCTTAAACAGAACATAATGTAGTGTCAAATTTTACTACGTTTGAGTGACTATTTTGTTTCATTTTATTTTATTATTTAACCCTGCACTTGTTCAAACTTCAAACTTGAAAATTTTGTATTTTACTAAGATGAAAATTTGGTGGGAAAGACGCAAGTCTTCCAGGCAAAATTATCAGTCCCCGCAGCCCACCTTCGTTCTCATCCAGACTTGTCAGTAATTTCGCCTGCCGGTCGGTAGCTAAAAGGAGATGAGCGTGTTCGGAGGCGACAGCTGGGGAAGAGAGGCGCAGTACAGGAAGAGGAAAGTGGACGATCTATTGACTGAAAACCTCCATGGATTTTCCTACAAGAAGCTTCCGTCAGGAAAGTTCGCTTGCCTCGTCTGCCCTCACAACCCCGTTCTCGATTCCCCTCTCATGCTCTCTGTAAGCATCGCGCATTCGCCTTACCAAAGCTCCTTTCACCCTTCCATGTGCCCTCTGCGTATTCATTTTTCGCAATCGCCCTGAATTTCTTCTTCTTCTCTCTGAACCCTAACTTTCTCGATCGGGCGGGGAGGACTGGGGAAAAAATGGGGACGATTGACTTGAATGCATAGTGCTTGGTGGCATGTTTGAATCTTGTGCGATCCTGCTAATTCATTTGAGTTTATATGGTTAGTTTGAAGATCCCAATTTTCAATGGCAAGCAATTTGGGTTCTGGCGTCCTCGTTGGTTGGTTGATAGATTAGTACTTCTAGTGATGTTAAGGTTTGAGTCTTTTCTTTGTATGGTTGTTTTACAGATGCACAGTAAGGGCTCCCGTCATGTGGCTGCGGAGGCCAAGCTGAAGGAGAAGGAACCGAAGACACGTGATGAGAAGAATAAGAGGCTACCTGCATCAGCCTCGAGTTCTGCTGTGAGCTCCACTAAACTGGCTATTTCCAGCAAAACTGTTAGGTCGCCAGCAGTTATCGGACCACTCAAAGAACAAGCAGGAAAGGCTGCATCCGAGCTGATTTCGCTCCATAAGAACATAATTTCGGTGCAGAACAAATCCGTGAACAAAAATTGCCATCTAAGCTCTGTTGGAGCAACTGCTAGTTCAAGGAACAATGGTGATGGTTGCTCATTTACTTGGACTCAAGGCTTCCCTAAGCAGCAGCAATCGAATTTTCCAGTATATAGAGAGAGGGAGCTCAAGTTTACTGAAGCGGGATGGAAACGTGATGGCCATGGGAGATGGTACAGAGATGAAAATGTAAGATATTGATATTGTTAATATGATTTTTACAAGTATGCTGGAATTTGTCTTTGGACCTAGGTTCTGTATACTTGAAAATTTTCAAGCTAAATTGTTTGTTCTGCCACAAGTAGACAGAGGTTTGGAACTTGGAAGCTAAATAATTTGTTCCTTTTATTCCCTCCTTTCCCTGTGTACTTGATGTATGCAGGTTGAATTTGATTCTGATGAAGAAGACCCGAATATCTCCTTGGCTGCCTTCACATCGTAATAGCTCTGTCTCTTGACAATTCCCTTCGTAGAAAGGCTACAACATGCTCTAGCAAGCCAAGTATGGGGGCACAACTGAATATTCTAACCACCCAACAAGGTATTCAATGTTGTTTGCCTTTAGCATGGCTTATTATTCCAGATGAAACAAGTGAAAATTTTGACACTCACTGGGCTGGCTAATGCCTTCTCTGATCATAATATTGGCTTGCGGCAAGGATGTTGCCTTGTGCATTATATGTAGCCCATGCTTGTGGGCTTTCATTCGTCCAGTTATCAGATTTACTTGTATGACTTGGAAGTCACAGGAATGCTGTTTGGTAGTAGCTATGTATCTATGTCTACTCACATCTACTTGTTTGTTGCTGAGGGTTGCTGTTTCATTGTTAACATGCACTTTCATTGTGACAACTAGACATGAAATGCAACATAGTTGCCTATATGAATTCTTTTTACTTTCTTATTTGGTGATTACATCATGCGTTGCATTTTCACTTTCTCTCAAATGTCAAGCTAGATGAAGTAAAAAAAAAAACAAGAACTAGTTACGCTAATGGCAGATTCCGTACCTAGGCGAGGAAATGAAGCTTATTTGCAAAAGTAAAAAGGGTTCCCCCTCTCCACAAAATCTTTCCTATCCTTGACACAAAATCATATTTGCTCAAAAGAGAGAAAAAGGCCACAGAGCTGCCAAGGATATCCCATGCCATAATAATGATCAAAATAAATTCTTTGCAATAGTTCCAGATATCTATTTCAAGAAATAAAGCAAGTTGCAGGCATTGCAGACTCCATATTCATGATTTCTTGTTGAACTGAAGGAAATGCCTGCTCTACCTTTTTCTTCAGCCAGTCTACTCTCTACTTGTTTACAAAACTTGCACTTGCATTAGTTGCATGTGACAGAAGACATGAATGCATTTTCACCCCAAAGGAAAAGACATAAAAGCATCTTGTTTGTCAAGCTTTTGAAAGAGGTGACCAGTCTGAGTTTACGAATCGTTTTGATTTCCTGTTTAGTCCAAGTATTACTGTTTGAGACCATGTGTAATACGTTTAATACATACACGTAATTCAACTTCCTAGATAAACATTACCTTGCACTGAAAATTGCTTGTATCACCAACTTTAGTAAAGCTGGTCCTCTTGCTGCATCAGATTTCATAATCAATTAGAAAACCTGTCTCTATTGATGTTATCTGCAAAAAAAAAAAAAAAAAAAAAGTGGCTGACATAGTGAGTGACATTAGAGAGAGAAGGCTGCTTCACAAAAGACAATGGTCAGTCAACTCAATCTTGACAAGATCTTACTTAGGTTTGTAAATGGAACATCTTGGTCAAAAGGAAACACGAAACAGATATTCCTAAATTAGTACTACGACTCCCAGGACCCCCTCAGAGAAGTATATTGGTCAGAAGATCTTTAGGACAGTTCTAAGGCAATCTCGATGCAGACCCATATTCATGATTTTCTCTTTCGGCACCACTGAAAAGCTGAGAACCTGCTCTCTGCCTTGCAGCTTCAGAACTGGGAAAAGGGTTTGATGGGTATTTATTTGGGTGGGTTGTCTTCATTTTAGCCTCATCTTTCCATCTTCAAGATCTGGGTTCCTTGGAGTGACAGGAGAAAGAGAGACGGGCTTTTCTAAGAAAATAACCATGGAGTGGCAGCAGCCTTGTGACCATTTCTTCAGGATCATCTTGCATTCCACAATGACTACCAAGAAACTGGTACGTTTACACAACAAAAAACAGTGCTCTTTGAAAATTACTAATCTACTCTGTTTCTCCTTTGAATAATTATTACTACCCCCTCTGACTTCAAACATCTTCCCCTGTTCAGAGACTTGCCAAGTTGTTCGTCGAGACCCGCTTAGATGAACTATCGGAAACCGTGACGCTCAAGACACCCAACTCGGAAGCATGGACCAATGGGTTGACGGTGAATAACGTAAGAAGGAACAAGACACCTGAAGCATGGCTTGATGCTGGTTTCGGCGAATTCCTCGAGTCCCTCTCCATCTCCTACGGACACTTTCTGGTGTTCGAGTATCGAGGCTGGTCCACGTTTAAGGTCGCTGTCTACGACAAGACCACTTGCGAGATTTTGTACCCTCCCAGAAGCAACGAGTCACCCATGGCCGAGAGTGAAGAAGAGAGTCGTGGTGGCACGGAGGAGCATCACAACGGCGAGGAGAGTGACGACGATGATGATGGTGGGGTGCTTTTTGTGGGTACATCATTTCTTTCCCCAAGAGATGACTCTTCCTCGTCCTCTGCCAAGGCCAGGCCACAAGAAACGGCTGCCGAGACGGGAGCTGTTGCTGAGTGGGATGCACTGCTGAATGAAATGATGGAGTCAAACATTGAAACCTGTCACAAGGCCTTCACCTTCCTGAAGATGCCACTGAGGAGCAAGGAAGCATTTCGGAGAGCCATAGCAAGGCCGCCGGCAAATCCATCTGCCATTCTTGTGCTGTCGTCTTATGCACCGGTAATATGTTAAATTAAATAATGCTGTTTTAGTCTACAAAAAAGATATTATATGCTCGCGAATCGCGACTTTAAACTTGTTGACTTTGTTCTTGCTTGTATATTGTAATAACATGTATGATGGGTGTACTAGTATCTGCCTGGGGAGTTCAGCCGGAGGTATCTGGGAAGGACTGACATGAAGGGCTATGGGAGTTGGATGAAGCTTGAGGTGGCCGGAGGTGGTGGAGGCGGGAGACAATGGCCGGTCCTGATACGGCCGCACTGTACAGGCGTGGTTTTTGGGAAGTATTGGATCAATTTCAGCACCGACAATGGCCTAGTTGAGGGAGATGTTTGCTTGTTTGAGTTCATCAGTGTCAAGGTGCTCAAAGTCCATATCTTCCGTGCTTCGGTTTAGTGTCACTGATCATTCAGCAGGTTCTTAGTCGACACTTAAGTTTCTAGTTTGTTGGGGTCTTTCATTGAACAGGTTTCTAATTACCTAGTATTGGAATGTTTTAAGTTTTAACTTTGGTTGGGATATTCCATGTGTCCTTTTATACCTTCTCCTTGGGATTGTGTTTGTGTATGTTGCTCGTTGGTGATGAATGTGGGCCCCGTTATACCCTTTTCTTGGAAAGGAAGGAATCCATCCGCCATGTGAGTGGGGGAAGGAATGGGTGTGATGCTTGATCCATGTTCTTCGATTGTTTATTTGACCAGTTATTAAGGCCATGTACTGATTATGGAAGATATGGGGATCTCTCTTCTCTCACATTTGGACTTAACCCATTATAATTCGGTTCGGTCGGTTTAAACCGAACTATAATTCGGTACGTTTTTCACACAAAACCGAATTTGTGAAGCTATTTGTATTTTCTCACTTTTAAATTATTTTTCACCCCTAATATAAACAATAAACATCAATTATATGCATCATCAATGATAAAACCAAACTTTTCAACACATAAGTCATAAAACATTTCAAATATTTAATTCTAAAACCAACTACAAACATAAAAATCCACCATTTGGAGCTTGCAATTATAGTATTTCGGTTTTTCGGTCGGAAATTCGGAAATTCGGTTCGGTTGAAAGAACCCTGATTTCCGAACTATCCATATTTTCCTTCCGAATTCCGAACCGAATAGCATTAATTCGGTTTCGGTTTGGTTCGGGTTTACCGAACCGTTTGCCCACACCTCACTACTATATTGTATTGATTAGCATTTAACTATTTTGTCTTTTATGGAGATGGTTAATCAAATGTCACTTGTAAGTAGGGATAGAAATGGGTCGGGTCGGGTTTTGTCAAACCCAAACCCATGGGTTTATCCGCAAAAAAAATCCGGAGTAAAACCCGTTGGGTTTGAAAAACTCAAATCCAACCCAACATCCGCGGGTTCATGGGTACCTGTGGGTTTTTGTGGTAAAAATTTACAATAACAAGTTTCTTTCAAAATAAAAGTTTAACATCAATTTTCTCATACAAATCAATCATACAAAAAACACCAATCTAGAGCATACAAACGAACCACAAATGATCAATACAAATTGTTCAAAATTAAAGATAAACATATATAAACAATAAGATTAATTGAAAGCTTCTTCCTCGTCAACTAAGTTTCTTCACTCTCCACTGCATAATATCAAACTTCATTCTAAACAATTAGAAAGAACAAATTATACATGTCTCCACAAACATATAGAATATTAGTTATTTAAGGAAGATATATTATTTAGAATATTAAATATACCGGGAAAGTAATTATATGTGTGTGGGCGGGTACCCATGGGGCGAGTTTACCTAAACCCAAACCCAACCTGACCCGGTGAATAGTGTAGCGGGTTTAAACCCGAACCCGGCCCAAAACCCGTCAACACGGGTTTTACCCGCGTTGACCGGGTTGGGTCGGGTGGGTACCCATGGGTTCGGGTTTTGTTGCTATCCCTACTTGTAAGACCATCTCCAAGACTCCAACAATAAGGTTAAAAAGTAAAAAACGTTAAAAATCCTCATCCAGCGACAATTCTAAAATACTAAAAAAAAAGGAAAAATCATGGCTATATTTCCAACAGAAAATGACAAGTAATGCCAAATTCTGGTCAACATTGTGGCTCCCACCCCTCTTTTCCGTGAAGACGACGCGTAATCCCCTATATGCTCAAATTTCTCTATAAATACACTATATTTCTTCACTACAACTTCATCACTTCCAATTTATTCTCTTATTCTCATCATAAATAAATTATATATTCTTCCCAAAAAATTGAAACTTCTCTTATTCCCAAGTTCGTGATCATGTCCCAACCTATTCGCCCACCAAATTGGAAAGAGTCCGAAGATGAAATTTTGTGCAAGACTCGGATTCAAATTTCAGAGGATGGTTCTATCGACCATTATCAATCTGGCATGAGTTTTGGAGGCGAGTTGGAGTCCTATATGCTGATAAAGGATGAGAAATTCTGTGTTTTGATGGGGCCTTGATTGCTCGATGGGGGACCATCCGCCATCAATGTGGGTCGTGGAATGCGGCATCATGGAGAGCAAGCACGATGCCACTGAGTGGAGAAAATCTCAGTGATGAGGTTAGTTGAGTTCTAATAATTATTATTGTGTGTTTGATTTTTCATTTAATTATGTAGTTTATACTCATAAATATTATACATGCCTTAATTGTCTAGGTCGAATAAGCAAAAATAATTTTTGTAGCAGATACCAGAAATAAATTCAAGCTGTAGCATTATTGGGATATACTCCACAAGTCTCCAAAGTTTATGGAACTATTTACTAGCTGGTATCACCATTCCACCAATGACCAGCTCTTTATCGCCAATGCATCCGATGAAAGTGAAAGTCCTGATGCGCATGGGTCTCCTATTGCGGTGACCTATCCTCAAGGTCAAGATACAAAAAAAAAAAAAGATGAACTTCATATTTTTCCACAGAAGGTTGAGACAAGAATATGACAAATTTGGTGGAAAATTCAAACACACACGCAAGGTTGGCGCTTGCTAAAGAAGAACGCGATGTTGCATGAAAAGCCAAAGATAAAGAGAGGAACTTAAGAGATGAAGCGAGGGAAGGAAGAGAGTATAACATACACGATATGAACATAATGAATATGAATCTTTCTTAACTCGGTCTTCAAACTAGAGCTTGGGATCATATGCAAAAGGAAGAGATTGTGGATTCGTACGAAGTTGCTCGTGGAGGATCCACTAATGATGACTTTCACTATGGCCCTGACGTGTTTATGTTTAGTGGATCGCTTTTATTTTTAATTTGTTGTTTTATCTAGTTTTATTTCTAGTTGATTGTATGTTATTTCGATTGTAAGTTTTCAATTAGTACCGCAAGTACCTTCTTTATTAAAAACACTAAAACAAGTCTGAAATACATCATTACAACGTGGAAAATATAGTAACAAAAGATGGGGAATACATTAATGTAACATGACAAATAAAAACAACAAAGAAGGATATAAGTAGTTAGTGCAAGGAAACGTAAGGAATACATCACATTTCTACTCTCCTCCGTGTTTTGAACACAAATGCTCAATCAAATTGTTTCTCAATGCATGATGTCCTTGAATATCATGAATCCTACTATGCCTGGGTAGGTACTCCATCAAGGTCGGAATGTGATGCTTGGGTAGCTCACAACTGACATTTGGATTAGTCTCATATAAAATGTTCTCCACTAGCTCATCCTCGTACTCATACCGTTGATCTTTACATTATCTTATTAAGCAGAATAATACAAGTTAACATATATCACCAAGTGACTTCAAGTCCCTATGACAACTCAGTCCTCTCACAATGGTCCATCTTTGTTGTACTATGCCAATTGCTCTCTCAACATCCTTGCGGCAAGCCTCTTGGTACTTGCATAAAAAAAATGGTTACTTGGATTGATAATAGTTTTCCCAAATATACCCACGCATGATCAATTCCATCATCCAAGTAATAAGATTGATCATGCGTCTTACCATTCACCTCATACTCGACCTTAGGAATCATTCTTTGTAGTGCTTGATCGAAAAGTGGGGATACTCCAAGAGTATTGATGTTATTGTTTGATCCAAGTGTTCCGAAGAATGCATGCCAAATTCATGTATCGTAGGATGCTACAACTTCAAGGACAATGGTTGGTTTCTTCTTGTGCCCATTGTATTGGCCTACCCACATAGTCGGAAAGTTCTTCGACTCCCAGTGCATACAGTCAATAGAACCAACCATTCCTAGAAAGCCACATTGTGAAATATGATGAAGGAGGCGACGAGTATCTTCCACTAATGGTGCTATTGATGTAGAAGTACTAAACGCCATAAATATGACAGTTTTGTTCTGAAGTTTCTTATCCGTTAAATTAATCGTTAGTAGTTAATGGTTAATGTTTGACCGCAATTATTTCACTTGCCATGCTTGTTTATTTATCACGTAAGTTTCATTTGCTTGTTGGATTTGAGTGATGAATTTTGCACTCAAAATTCAAGTGATGGATTTAGTACAAGTTCTTTGTTTTATTTAGAAAGATGGAAGAACCAAATCTATTGGCTTCATAGATTTGGATCCATAATTGGTCGCAAATCTGTAGGCCCCATGAATTTGTAAATCCCAAATGAAATGTGTGATTTGGGATATGGGTCAAAATCTATGATGGTTCAAGACTATTATTGACCGGAAACAAGCTGAATCACTTCCGTTCATGGTAGTATGGCGAGAGACTAATAGTATTTGACTATGGTTGCATATTAAGACCTATAAAATTTCTTATTCTTCTTCTTGGTGATGATAAAGCAAGGTTGTCAGGCCAGTTTGGCTTGTTGACACAGTTGAATAAGTGGGTCAAGAGTTAATGGTCGGATTGTTTTAACCCATATTAGCCCTATAATAAAATATAACATTACACTAAAACAATAATTCTACTCCAATCCAACATATAGTAAACAACTATCATATTTTTGGACTTTTTTTTTCTAGAAATACCACTGTTTAAAAAAAGAATTCCAAAAATACCACCCAACCCCAAAAAATTCCAAAAATACCACCATTTTTCAAAAACCGCCACCCCACCCTACGGTTAACACGAAAACCGCTGGGCGGTGGCGCGGTTTTCTATGCAAACCGCTGGGCTAAGGGGCGGTTTGGTCCAATTTTTTTTCAATCAACTCCCAACTTCGGCCGAAACTTCAAACGAACGTAACTTTGCACTCGGGTATCCGATCGTAGCGATTTTTATTTTGAATCCGAATAAATTTTCGAGATCTACAACTTTTACTAGGATGAAATTTTCAAAACAAGAATTAGTTGTGGATATACGGGACCTTGGGAATAACTTTACCTTTACTTTTCACAAATCCATGTACATTTCGAAATTATGATTATCTTAAATGTTGTAGATCTTGAAAAGTTATGCGGAATAAAAAAAATTCATGACGTTCGGAATTTTGGAGCACAAAGTTAAGGCCCCCCAAAGTTTGACGAAATAAAAAAAAAAGGCTCGTCCGGGGTAGCAAATGACGTTTTTTCAAGACGAATATCGAAAATTTATTCGGATTCAAAAAAACAATTGCTACAATCGGATTCCCGAGTGCAAAGTTACGTTCGTTTGAAGTTTCGGCCGAAGTTAAGAGTTGATCGAAAAAAAAACTTGGACCAAACCGCTGGGTGGGATGGCGGTTTGACCCAAAACCGTC